TTTGGTGGGATCTGCGCTACAGTAAGTAAATAAAGTTTATTAATTAAACGCTTTTCACAGACAGAAATCTAAGATACGCACAATAAACAGGAGAAGCACCAATGAACTTTAAACAAGATAAATACTGTTAGTATAAATTATTGTGTAGGTTGAGTTATTTGTCATATTAAGATTATTCAGTCGTTTTAGGTGTGTGCAGAAGGACGGAATTGAACCTTTTGCTGTACACAGTAGTCGCACAACCGGAAACTGCTGTAAAGAACACTGTAAAGAAGCTCTGTAGGCTCATAATAGTCTTGGCTTCAACGTGTTGGTAGCAGCAATGCGTCGCAGCTCGTTGCTTACCTCTGCGCTCTGATTGGATGAGGCTGCAGTGATGCTCTCTGCATCCTGCTTTCACACAGCTACAGCAGGAGGGAGGGGAGCTCGAAGCGCGACTGGGAAATCATCTCAACACAGGAGCAAAATAACAATTTTCTTCGCTTTAGTCCTTTGAGATAGATGTAAACATTTAATATGACCGCAGAAACAAAAGGAGCTGATGTAGCCTATTCCTGACTGTTCACTCAAAACGTCCGGAAACAGCGCAAAGCGGCTCAGTGAAAGTCTCACTTTACACTCCGTGAAGGTAAAGCAGGATAACCAGGAGACCATGAGCGCGCAAGTCAACGACCCCGAGAGTATACTGTGCTACCAGGTAAAGTGGTCTTTTACTGTGTGCTGCATTGCTTTGACACTGTGGGCTGGCACTGAGCAGGATGCACACAACCTCGGACAACTGTAGTCCCATGCCTCGAGATTCTCTCAAACTCAAAGATTGAGAGCACTCTGGAAGGTTTATAATATTCTTTTTATTTCGTTATTCTACCTAAACATTTTAATGGTTAAGAGTCATCAGTAAAACATTTTGTATGATGTTAAGGTGTGTTTCCTGCCCTACAGGATGATGCTGTAATCGGGGGATGTTGTTGATGTTGTTCTGAGTTGCGAACACGTGCACTGATTCCGGAGAGCATTGAAATGCGCAGAGGGGTCGTAGCTCCTGGGACTAACGCACAAGAATACATGAATGATTGCGTTCTGGAAATGCCATGGACACGGTGCTGTGAGAGTGCAGCAGATTATTGATTAGATATTTTCCCCCGGCCCAACACAGCGCTCATTAAAAACTGCTGGTCCGAACGACGGGTGTGCACGAGGCAGAATAAAAAGAAGAGAGTGTGGTGGATTTTCTGCTGACTTTTAGTTAAACGGCGTGTTATTTCTGCTTAGTTACCCTCAAATGACCTTGACGCCATTCTCACATGGTGTTCTATAAAGAGCTGAGGGTCTGTTTCCATACAGGCAGAAGGGGGACAGCTTGTGGGAAAGCTGTGGTTTGAAGGGGAAATTGTCTTGATCCAGTGTCCTGCTGATGTGCATGTGTCATGTCCTCTAACAGAATCTCGTTAGCAGTATAGATAAGAAAGCCAGTGAGCACACCAGGCTCCATTCAAACTGACAATCATTAACATTTGAACAGACTGATTATAACCACCCTGGCATGCAGTTGGGCACCTTAATAGACTTGATGCAGCCTGCCCTAACAGTCATGTCACCCTTTTGATTCATAGCATCCTGTCTGGGCCAGAGACAGATGGAGTAAGACCAGAGGTGAGCTGGGAAGTCTCTGACATGATTAGCCAGCTTTCAGAAAGGGAGAGGAAATGGCCAGAAGCTCTTCAAATATTAGCGTTATGTAAGCTTGTGTTAAAATCTGTATAATTGTCTCTCCACCATGTCTGTGATGTGTTGTGGACCTTTGCGTTTCATACCACCTGCAACCTGTTGATTTCTCACACGGTGCTGCTGATGGGGCTCAGGTGGTGGGAAAAGAGAGGTAATTTCTTTTAGGAAAATGCAAAATGTAAAAATGGATAACAGCAGTAAGGCTGGGAATAGAACAGTTTCACATAGATATATCTGCACGATTCAAAGATACGTTGATGAAGGGTTAATTAGTAAATTAATAATAATAATTAATGTAATAATTAATAATTATTAATGTTTCCTTGGCATAAAAGGCGAATAATGTCAGCTTCCACGTTTAATCTATGATACTGCATTATATATATATTCTTAGAGGTTTGTTAATATTTTTTTTAAATATTGGTTTAGATACAAAGTAACTACATATACTGGAAAAAGTACAAATCAGTTGAAGCTGAAGTGCAACCATGGAAGAATGTGGATATAGGACTGGACAAGCTGATGTTGTTGTATCAAGCAAATTATCAGTTTTATATATATGTCTTTCTCCAAGTACTAAACAGGTGAGGTAATGTCACACTTGGGAAATAATTATTGTGTAAATGTTAATAGATACTCTTTACTGATTGCATAAATTGACTTTTTAGGCCATTTGCCCCATGCAGCCAAATTTGATCTCACAACTAGCACAACCTTTGCATAGAACAAAGAGCAACACGTTTGTGAAACTTGTGAAACAAAATTTCCACATTCAGTCAGTGTGCTGCCATTGCAAAGAGCTCTAAGGTCCCAAATCAGTGAAATGCATCATGGGGTTAACTGTTAACATACTTAACATAACATACTCGGGTTAACTGTCACTGGGATGTTGGTCAAAAGCTTCTAATTGTCTTTTTCAACAAAAGATTGTAAAGCTGACAATGACTCAGACCTTCATCTTTGCAAAGCCCTTTGAGGACTGGATTAAATCTTTTGGCAGGGTGGTTTTGGTCCATGGGCCGTATTTTTGACACCCTTAGTTTAACCACTGGTAAAGTTTAGTTTCACTGTTACAAACTTGAGTGCTTCATTTTAGTAGGCACAGTGTATTTTTTTTTAGTGCCATTCATGCACTGCGTATGCAGTATCTGCAATAAAGGAAAGTATTGTATTGATTGAGACAACTTAATTTCCCCTCACTACTTCCTTTTATCTAACAGAAATGTAAATCAATAAGTCCAAATAAAACCAGCAAAAACAAGCCTACAGACACAGTCGAAACGAACTGCAATGACTTCCAGATCTCTAACTAAACCAACTAAACAGGTATTCATTTTCAAATGTTCACAGTATCACTCCCAGGCCTGCTACTATAAGTGATTTTCAGTTACAGTTAATAATTTAGTGCACTCCACATCGTGCATTTGTCTGCATTTTAAGCCCATCAAGCACAAAACTGTCACAGTTCCCAGTTTAGTCCCTTTACGGCAACTATTTGGCATCGGCCCGAAAGTTTCATTTTAATTAGTTTTGTGGTATAGAATCCGTTTAGTGACCGTGATCAATAAGCCCCCATCTAATGAATGAATGTGTACTTTAAAGAGCAATATTCTAGTTTCCAAAAGTCTCCACGTTATGTGAAAACTGTACTAAAACTCTCATTTTTTTAAGGCGCTCAATACATTATTATAGTAATGAGGCATGACCAGCATGTCCAATTATTGGCAGCCATTTAGTTTGAAAGAGCATGTATAATCACAGATATGTGAAAAACTCTTCGAAAATTAGGAAATGGTGTAGACGAGTCTTTGGGAATCATTTGGTCCCCTGGACTTTGGCACTAGTATTTATTTATTTATTTTTTTTCAATTTTTGGGCCAGATGACTGAGAATTAGTTAAAAACCCAAAACTCAGTGCTCAGCCCGCTTTAGTGTTTGCTTTTGATTATTTAACCTTATTGTGTACTATATTGTAGAAGGTGTAATTTTTAATTACAGTATATATTACAGTCTTTTGCCCACACAGCCATTTGAGCTGGCAGTAATCTTTCTAGAAGGAAAACAATTAGAGAGACAGAGCTATAGGGAGGCTGAATTCAACATGTGGCATTGAATAAGGTGTGTATGAGTCATGCTACTCGTGGGCTGATACAATCAAAACAGCCGTCCCTCTCATCCTACCTCCCCCAGCTATCTCTTTTCCTCTTTCACTCTCTCACCATTACCTCTTCCTCTCCACCATTCATGTTCATCCCCTCCTCTTAGTGAAGCGCTGTCACATGCGTCTGCACCAGATCTGTGATGTCACCGTGCTATGGACACGTTTAAATAACCTGGGGCTATGGCGCCAAGTGCCAATCCAGGCTCTCAGAAACAAAGCTCAGTCTGGAAGTGACAGACCCAGTTGTCTGAGTCAGGGTGCATATCCCTGCTGTCAATTCAGAGTGCTTGTGTGTGGGGAATAGCGCAGAGGGGTCAGCATTGAAAAGGGAGGTGGGGTGTTGTTGGAGTTTGAAGATAAAAATAGGAGACGCCAGAGAAACACAGTTAAGGAGGAGAAGGGAAATTTTGTCTGAAAAGATTTGCTGAAAAGCTGTTTTGTTGCAGAGCGCGAAATCAATGTTATGGTTGGTCAAGTCAGAAATGAAATCTCAAAAGACTCGAAAGTTCAGGCTTTTTTTTGCAACAATTTTTTGCTCATACGCGCATCATTTTCCTGCTTCTTGGGTTTTCAAAGCTCTCCATCAAGATCTCAAAGTCTTTACAGTAGCCAGCGAGCCCTGGCTCCACTCAGCTCCTTTGCAGTCCCGTTGGAGTCAGAGAGCATTTTAGTGCCAAGCATCGATTGCCCCGCTCAGCTAGGACACGGGGATTCAAATCATTGCTGCTCTACTTGTTCGGGACGATAAGCAGTTCAATATGTTGTTTTGTTTTTTATCCTCTTTGATGCTTTTCGAGGACACCTTGTCAAACAATACTTATCTTAAAGATGACGTCCTGCATCACAGACAGGTTTTATCAGCAGTCTAAGTAGGACATTCAACCCTGCTCTGGGAATCTGACATGTTTCTGGGACAGCCTGCTCGGCGTTTTCAGAGGTATCAAACACACATTTCATTTTCATACTGAGACACTAGACTGAGGTGTTTAAAGTCATCAGCATGTGGATCTTTGAAATTGGCTAAGTGTAATAAATAGAATCATTTGTTTGCATTCTAACAGTTTGTCATTAACTAGGTGAACAAAAATATTATTTCATACCCTTTTAATATTTAAAAAATTCAAAGGGCATAAAACATCAGATTAATTCCCGGAAAAGGTGCTGTCTTTTTTCTATGCACAATTTTGCTTCTTAACATTACTGTCTCTTCACTGCACATCAACAAAAAGCTTCAGTAAAGTTAAAAAGACCATCCTTTAAAAAAGTCGCATTACTTTGGGAAAATCTGGAGGGCAAATACCTCTGATGTCCCAAGAAAGCAAAACATAGCTAGAGTTTATTTATAAAAATACAGTGCAGTTAAGTTCTGATCTTTTCCAGCTTTGAATTCACATGATATTTGAATTAACACTATCACGTCTTTTTAGTCACAAAGCAGCTTCGGTGAGGGTCGACTGTTACCGCCGAGATGCTGGTAAAGGACAGAACCTCAAGGACAGGCAGCCATTTTGGCAGTGAACTGATCCTGTGGTACAGTCGTGCTAATCTGTTGGGTATATTATTGAGCCATAATCCCACCTCAGTACGGTGGCAGATGTTGATCTTGAGGAAAAGAGTAAAGAAAGAGGTCCGGTTGCCAGGATATAAAAACAGGCAGAATTCACAAGTGACTTGCTCTGTCAGTGGAAAATTACGCACACGTGCGTGCTTTGAGGGTCACAGATGTGCTCCCACGGAGGGAACAAACAAAACTTTGAGTTCCATGTGAGCCTTTAATTAGCTGAAGCATGTGACGTGACACAGGAGAG